GTCAATAGAAGGTGCAATTATGTTGTAAAAATTATAATCACAATGTGCAATGATGGATTGTTCTTATGAAAAAAATGCCAGAAAAAACTTTAAAATATTTTTGAAAGTGTACCATGCAGTCTTCTGGGAGAAGGAAGATTTGAGAAATCATCTAATAAATGTTAAATAAGCAGTTGGCTGTTTTTAGCTGTTTTAATTTACATATAAATTTTATAATTTATACATTTTGCATATACATATATATGCATTAAAGATAGCTAAAAAAAAAGCCCTTTGCTCCAGACAAAATGGACATTATAACTGTGGATATTTTTATTTCAACTTTAAATAAGATTCTGCTAAACTTTGAGCTCCCGCAGTGCACACACCCACTGCCATGGCGCTATCTGCTTCACATGTACAGTGTGACTTCTGGTGGCTATGAGAGTAACCACTGAAAATAGAATAGAATGCAGGTGCATCCAGTTGTGAGTAAATTGGCGATGGAGTATAAAGAAAAAGCAAATCTTCTAGATACAGTTAACACCTAAATACCTAAAGCATCAAAAAGATATTTGACCAGCACTATTATAAGAGTCCAATCTGAAAACAAAATTTCCATTGCATTTGTCATCTGGACCGAGGCAAATTCAATCCGAATGTTCTTTGGGTCACAGGAGGGATCAGGACAAAAGCAATGCTCAAGGTGTCCTGTGAAGTTTTTACTAAATTGTTCTCATAAAATGTTCAACAGAGAAACATTTTGTTTTCCAAATGACCTCCACATCTTCTTGAGTGTGTGTGTTTATATGTGTATTTGGGCATGAGTGTGCAGGTATATGTTTATACTGTGTGTACATGTGAACACGAGTACATGGCTGTAAATATGAGTGTGTACGTGTGTGTGTGCAAATATGCATATATGTACATGTGTGAGTGTGCAGATATGCATGTGTGTCCGTGTGCGTGTGATGGGGAGTGGATACTTGCAACACACTGTGTTGAAAGTTCTGTCACTGTTATTATTTTTCAATGCAAAGTGGGATTATTCCACATTTCTCAACATTCTAAGATCCCGAAAAGCTAAGAATTCTGCATATGTAAATACGGACTATCACTAAAAGGAGAGAACTTCATTTTTAATCTTATTGAGGGAGGGGGAAGTTGATTGATGCTTCAAATTATGTGTCACGTTGCAGACCCTGTCAACTCCGAAGAAGAAATTCTTCATTTTCCTACACTCAAAAATATACAGGAAAAAAGTCACAGATGTTAAAATCATAGTTTTATGAAGATACCCACTGATATATGATAGATTTAGATTACTTTTTAACATCAAACGCCCAAGTAAGAATTTAATAAAATAAGGAATCCATCAATGCCCCTCAGACGTGCCTCCTTGATGCAATAGGTGTGCCTGAAAGATTGGCAGAAAATGAAACTACGTGAATACAGTTCTCGCACAGAATTAGGAGGACTCTGCTATTAAAAATAATCTTCCGATGAAGCCATCTGTCAAGTCAATGGTATTTTGTTAAATGAAAAAAAAATAAGGCATTTCTGTCATAATATGACTTTAGGTCTTTCTATAGAAAATACTGGGGTTTGTAAAATAAAAGTACCCAACAGACAAACAAAATAAAAACCATGCATCCAATTAGTTCTACCATATAAATATCACACCGCAAAATTCTATTTGAGGCCAAATTCAGTTCATCTAAATTATCACCAAATAATGTATTTGTACAGAGTCAAGGGTATATTCCATACAGCATCTCTACACACACTAGAAATATGAACCTATATCTCTGATAGTTACTGTTTTAAGACATTCTGCAGGAGTGTGTTAATGTAGATAGTTTCCCTTCTCTACACTTACCCCTTATTTTGCACAACCTGGAATTCTTGAAGAAAATATGAAAAGCTTTGTTCATGTCATTGTTTTCAGTCCTCATTCTCCCCTGGAAAACTCTTCTACCTGATCTAAGAGTTTTCCCAGAAAGTGGGTAAAATAACACAGATACCAATTTGGGGCTAGAGTTACCTTCTGTCCCTCCAGGGGAAGGAAGACCCCCACCAGGGACTGGTTCAGCCAAAGACACATCAGTAAAGTGAACCCCTATATCACTTTTTCTAATTTGCAATAGAGAAAGATCTTCGAAAGCCATCCTGTTGTTCAATAAATCCTTGGGTTAAGACGTTGCTTCAGACCACCATGAAATCGTGTCATACTGAGGCAAGTGGTTGAAACATAAGTTATCACATCAATGAATTAAAACCAATGAAAGCTTCCTGTCCTCAGCAGATCACAAGGGGACATCAGTGCACTGCCTGTGACAAATATGACACTCCAGGGGAATAAGGGAGAGGAGAGGCCAGATTCAGTGTCACGGCCACCCTATCACTTTCTTTGTCCAGGTCAACTAGGATGCAACGCTTTTCAGAAAGACAACCCATGATGGATCCCACATTCACAGGCCATGCCCAACAGCAGCCCCAGCAGAGAGGCACTAGGTGCACTCCAAGCTGTTAACATGCACATGGGTAGGCAAGATCCATGGAAGAAAAGCTCTTTCCAAACGAATGAAGACCTGGCTACTCATCATGTCTCTTTTTAAAAAGAGGAAACCAGAATATATATATTTTTCAATTTTATCCCAACAATACATTCTCTATATCCACTTGCTTTATGTGTGGCTTTAACTTTCATCAGAATGAGTGTGTGCTTACATTAGCATATTTATCCCCTCACCAACCTGTAGCTACAGAGAAAGAATGATGCTGAGACACTCACAAATAAATGGGGTTGAAGAGTACTTAAATCCCTGAGCTCACGGCACTCTTTGGTTTGTTTAATGAAAGTAACGTTGACTACCATGGTATGTGGGCTTCAGGCGTAGGCACCAACATAACAACATCAGCATAGATGACATCATGCTCATCACAGAAAGTCCAGTTTCCACCCATCACCCAACAGCTGACCTCCCTTACCCAGCTGACCCACTCAGCATCTGCCTCCCCTTCTGGTAACCACTATTTTGTTCTTGTAGCTTAAGATTGTGCTTTTGTTTTGTTTTACTGCTTCATCTGTTTCTTTATCTACCATGTACGTGAAATAAAGTGCTGTTTGTCTTTCTCTGTCTGACTTATTTCGCTGGCATAATAGGCTCTGGGTTCATCCACATGGTTGCAAATGGTGGGATTTCACCTTTACTTCTTAAAGCTCACTAGTATTCCAGGGTGCATATATTTTTAATGAGCAGAGATAATTTTCTAATAAAATGACACCTCATCAGTTGAGGGAAGGGAGACATCTACCTTTCTATAGTTGCAGTATCTTGAGTTCCATGGGGCTTGAGCAAATGTTAGATAAATATTCATGCACAAAATTTCAAATGAAAACAGAAAAGCATTTGTTTTTAAGGGAACACTCTTTAGGACAACACACACACACATTTTATTCCTTCATCATGCATAACATTTATAAATGTATGCATGCATTAGACCCACTCTTGGACTCTACATTTTTTGCCCATGTGGAAAACAGGCAGCTGTACACACACAGTGGCACCCCCTACAGTCTCATTAACTCATGTACCCCAGCAAAATCACGCTTTTGTGAACAGCATGAAGAGGCACCTTCCCCTTCCCTTCCGTGAGGTCTTAGAGATTTGAAAGGACAGTGAGGTAGCCCCATCTGCCAGCCTGGCTGTGGGCTTGGTGGTGTCCATGGGGACAGGCGTGCATAAGTGGCCACTGCCCATTTAGAAGGCCCCCCAAAAGACGACCTATTTCTATTCATTTGTTCTAATCTGTCTTCAAATCAGGCCTGCAGTCCATTAATCATTTCTGTCACTCCCCCACAGAACCCAGGGCATCAGATCTCTGTTTTTCTAAAAATTACAGTGCCAGAAACTTAGCTCAAGAAAAAGGAAATCCCCTCTCAAAAGGGCTGGCTGTGGTGCTGATGGGAAGAAGCAACCGATGCCGCTGACTTTTCTGTTTTGCCCAGAATGGCGTACAAGATTCCGTGGAAAGTTTTTAAAGAGAATTCAAGTGGAAAGTGGAGGTGGGAGGCTGACAAGCTCCCCAACACATGAAGCTGAGGGGAACACAAGAAACAGTAGTGGGTAGATACAGCAAAGATGGCAAAGACAGATGTGTGCTAACAAAATCCTCATTAATGTCTTTATTAGGAGCCATTGTTTTAGCAACTTCAGTCCAAAATAAAAGTATATTAAAGGTCAGGTTCACAGCCATACCAGATCCACTATATCCTGAAGTAGATAAAAAGCTATAATTAACTAGACAAAACAAAATGGGCCTTTGATAGCAAAGAATATCTTCTCACTGGGCTGATATACTTGCTTGCATAATAAGAGTGGAAGTGACCTTGAACCCACTGACCTTTGGAGCTCTTTTTTTTTTTAATGAGTATATCCCTGTGAGTGAAGAGAGAATACTGACAACAGAAAACAGAGGACAGAAGGATTATCACCACGACTTACCACTCAATCACTCTTGTCATGTTAGACTCAATGGCAATCTTCATACACCCCCAAATTAATGGCCCCACAGGAGATGTAAAAGACTGGCAGTTAAAAGACTTGGTTTCTACTCCTTTGTACAACAAAACCCAATCTGATCAAAAACAAGCCCCCTTACAAAGAGGGAGAGATGTGAAATGAGGGCCTCATGTCAATTCTCAGGTCCTTGCCAGATTCTCGGACTTGGTAGTTGACTTGGGTTGTGTTAGGATCTCTTGCAGCTCTGAGATTCTATGATTACATTATACCCACAGGATGAACTACTGTTCAAGACATCCCCTCCATAATCACCTCTAGGGTCATATAGTATACAAAGATCACATTTATAATGAAAATTTTCTTACAAGTATAAACTTCAGCTATGTTGAATATGTATCTTTCTATTTCTTGCTTATAAAATAGAACACATCTGCATTTGGATTTGAGACTCAGAAGCAAAAAATGAATAAACTGAATGTAAAAAAGGAAGCTTACCACAAATGCTATTGTACTTCTCAATGTAGATTCCCACTGGAAGCAGCTTTTAAGAAATTGTATTGTATTCCATATCGCCATGGTGATTCTTTTCACACGATCCACATCCCTCGATAAGATCTGATTTTAAAAAATGGAAAACTGGGAATCAGATTTAAATACAGCAAACATTCTCTTCAGAAAAGGCAGTGTGATCATTGAAATTATATTTTTTATAGCTGCAAATTTAAGAAAATATAATAAAAAGAAAAAGTCCTAATATTTCTAAAACTCTTAAAAATATGATCATCCATAGAGGGGAAAAAAGTCAAATGTATTTTTAGTTCTATTTGATAAAAAATAAAACTGCGATGGTAAAAACTAGAGTAGCAGGGTATTTGGTGTGTGTAAATGTGTGTGTGTGTGTGTGTGAGAGAGAGAGAGAGAGATAGAGAGAGAGAGAGAATGAGTATAAATACTGTTTAGTTTAGAAAAAAATGGTTATTTATACTATTAAAATTTAAAGGTACAATGTCTAGGTATTCTAGTTCATCTAATCTAGCAAAAGAGTCTATTTGAAAAAAGTATAGCTCTGGGAAGGAAATACAGTGCTCTCACCTCCTAACCATACAACCTTGGAGAAGTTTCTTAACCTCTCTCATAAACAACGGGATTGATGTTAATACTATAACCTTTATTATAGTTTATAATAACCTGATTGTGGAGAGAATTAATGGGCTTTATGCCTAATGCATTAAAGGAGCTTATAAGAATCTCCATCACAAGCACAAGTTTCAACTTTATGAGTGTTTCAGAGCACTAAGTGGTGAAAGGCAGGTGGGGAGGGTCCTAGTATACCCTAGGAGCTCAACCCCAAACCCCTGCTGCTGTCAGAAGCAAAGGCCACCTCACTGGAGGTCGAGTTTGGCAAAGGAAATGTCTTTTCTCCCAGTTGTAGGCAGATACATTTCAATTTGTTTGCAAAGCAGCTACTCCACCTACCCCAACTCAAGTTTTAACTTTCAAGTAAACAGAGCAAAAGGCAGCAATAATAATGTTTTTAAAAAGACATTTGCTCAAATTACACAAAATAAATATTACATCGCATGTTATGGCAGACCAAAACAAAGCATTTGGATGTGCCTTAGAAGACATTAAAGCCTTTCAAATGTGCCCAGAAGTTCATGGGAAACAAAGGGATGATAAGATGCCTTTATATTTAACTGCTTTACGAAATCCACAGCTGCTCACCCCACAGGAAGTAGTGGAAGTAATAAACACTTTCAAAAGAGGACACTTTGTTCTTTGTCACACAACTGAAGAGGGACAGTCGGTACAGAATGAAATCCTGAACTGTGTCTAAATAGGACAGGGAGGGACCTTGAAAAAAATGCAAAGGTCACGCTAAAAAAATGAGAAACTTTCCCTTCTGGGCCCCAGTCTTTGCTTTTGGTTGAAGCAATGAGAGAGGAATTAAGGGCAACAGCAAGGGAGAGAGAGTTAATTCAATAGGAGGGAAAGTGCCAACACATCCCAAATTTAGACACCACAGAAGAGGAAGGAGTAGCTGAGGGTAAATCCAAGGTCAGGGGACTCTCAAGCTCCACTGGGTTATTTTCTGTGTCAACTCCACAGACAGAACACATCCTGAAACCTCACAGGATGGACATAAACATGGCTAGGAATCAAGGAGGGCCAGCAGCGCAGGAACACGCAGGAGAACTTGTGGGGTCTTGTCACTAGGAATTTCTGCTTGTAGAATGATCAGAAGTTAATGGAGGGCGGATACCTCCTCAAGTTAAGGAGAAGAGAAAGAAGAGATGGAAAGAGAGAGGGAGAGAGAGAAAAAGGGGAAGAGATGCAAGCATGGAGAGACAAATAAGGTCTTGAGGTACAGGGTGTGGAGAGTATCAACTTTCCAGAAGAATCTCTGTGAAAGGGGGGGGAGCATTGCATAGGTGTCCATCTCCCCTCCCCCACTGACAGGGCAGCCACCCCAGACCACAACTCTCAGTTTCCCATGAACTGCAGGGGGCACAGGGAGAGAGCAAGGCGGGTGGAGATATAAACTGAGGGGACACTCGGAAGAGGCAGGTGGGTGAGACACACAAGTGGGGAGACTGTTCCTGGTCAGGGGAGGAGACAGTGGCAGCCATTAGCATGACCTCATGGTGAATGATGTGGTATATTTTGAATTTTGAGTCTCCCCTTCTGTCCCAGTTCTCTGGGGCCTGCCTACCACCTTTCTTGTGGCTCCCTGCCATGAGGTGCCTTAGGCTGGTGGCAAGTTACAGGCTCAGAAGCACCATTTTGAACGGAGCCGATTTGGCTGGGAACCTGCCCACAAGGCAAAGGGTCGTTTTTGAATGGGAAACTAGTATTTGAAGTGCCTCACCCTCTCCTGCTTCCTCTCCCACCCCACTCTCCACCAACGCTATTAAAAGTCTTTCACATTACGATCATGCTTCCTTTGCCTTTGTGCAAGAACCCCTTTTAGAGCATGTACTTCTCAAGAATTTGGGGTTCCCAAGTAGCCATCCATCACATGCCAATGACAGCAAACCAGTCTGCAGCCCCCACCTACCTTTTTAGAGAGTTTGCGGCCATCTTCAATGAAGCGCTTTTCTCTGGGAGTGAAGGATCTAATACTCGCTTTGACCTAGAAAGACATCACTGGTTCAAAGAACAGCACTCATACTGGCTTTGTTTTCATCTTATTCTTAATGACTGGAAGAACATGGAAAGCCACAGTAGGCCTCACGGCCTTTGCAGGGAGCAAAGAAATGGCAGGTGGAGACTGGATACCACATGACCTGCACCTACTTCAGGGAACTTAGCTCATGATCCTCATTTGGATAAGTCTGGTGGGATCTGGGAGAATCCACTTTGTTAATTCAGTGAAAGTACTTTCCAGCACTGCAGAGATTGGGATGATAAGGTTTTCAAAGAAAAATCCCTAAGAAATAACATTTCCCTCACACCAAGGTTTGGAACTACACTTTCCCCAATAATACCTGGCCTGTGAATATCAGGTATCCAGCTGGTCAAAATATTGTTCTACTCTCCATGAGCCAGAAAAACCAGTACATGAGTCATTTTAGCTCCATTTTATAGGAAAAAAACTGAAAATCAAAGGGATTAGGTGGTTTGTGCAAATCACCTTCCTGAGGAAAACCTCAGAGCATAAAATTCAAATCTTTCTCCTCTACATCAGAAAGAGAACAGAAAAATCACTTCTATTTCAGGTTTTACCCCCTTAAACTCAGGTTTTATCTGTGAGCACAATCTATAAAAAGTGCTTTCCAGAAGAAAACATGAGCTGAAGGATGATCTGAGGGGCAACACACATACACACACACACCACACACACACACACCACACACACACACACACACACACACACACACACGATTCCTCTTAAGGGGAAGGGAAAACATGGGGAACAGAGGAAGAAAAACAGAGTCCCAGGGTGCCTGCATTCCTGGGAATGAAATACACAGCCCCCTGCACGGAGGTGGGAATAGCTGCTTAGATGCTGAACAAGAAGCAGAGGGCACAGGAGACAGCAGAGTCAGAAAGATGAGGACCTGGAGCCTAACTCACTCACTAGCACATCAGCCCTTCTGGTTAATTCCATTTACTCATCAAAATGGTACCAATAATACTGATGTTCCAGGCTGAGCGGAAGGGTTTGGTGAAATAATGTCAGAGTCTGGCACATAGTAGTGAGCCATAGACAGCAGCCAGTCTTGCAATTACTGTAAAAGCACCACTGCCCAACACTCTCGTTCACTACCAGCTGGATAAACCTTGCCTTTTTTTCCCCCTAGAACTCCTTGTAGATTTCTACAGCCCACCGAATGCTCACAGTGACAAGAGCATTCCCTGCTTCCCAGGAATCCCTGCTGACAACAGCTCACCTGTGTCCACCATGAAACAGCCCTGCTATTTCCCAAGAAGTTTATGCCAGTTTTAACCATTACTGCAATTCCATATTTTAATTGATTATTCATAAATAATTGCAATACAATCATGGATGAAAAGTGTTGAAATTGACATTGTTCTAGAACTCTTGACAAAGGTCACTTATCAAGGCATGATTTTATGCAAAACAATCTATATTCAGATGTAATTCTATATTCAGTGCTATACATATGAGTGTACTCTATATTCGGATATTCAATTTTATATCCATGTGTGTTTTTAAAGTATACCCCACACTGAAGATACTGAAACCAGAAATTATTATAGATGTCTTAGATGTGGCTTATGAAAGACAAAAGCTGCAAAACTAAAAATAATAGATCCATGCTTAAAAAAATGATTTAATGTACATGTAACTATTGGCAAATGAATATATATTAACATAAAATTAAATGTGCAAGATACATCTGAAAAATTCCTCCTTTAATTGCAGTTTCCTGGTGATAGCTACTTGTTTTAATAATCTTGGATAGTGGGAAACCTACTGTAATCATTAAATCACATGCCAGAGGTTTGCAAAGCAACCTGTACAATAGTCAACTGTTGTCCCGGAAGAAGATTATGGGCAAAAAGCTAAAAGCCAACTCCCTCCTTTAGTTTCTTTTATTCTTGCCTTCTAGATTTATTGAAAATTAAACTCCATCAATTCTAGTGGCTTGATCGTATCAACACAGGCTGGGAGCTGGAGTGTTTAGCACTGATTTTAGGCTGGGTTTTAAAACACAGTTCTTCATTCTCTGTAGCTACAATTCTAAAACATTTGACATGGATATGAATGTCTCCAGGCTGGTCCCTCTTTCACTTTCGGTCTAGAGAAGCTGCTAAGTTTGGCCCGGTTAGACTTACCGGATTATAGATGAGCTCCATCTCCAAGTAAATAACTCCTTTAAAAGCTTGTTCTAAATCCTTATTCTTCAACATGTAGCAATTAGGTTGTCCATCTCTAATCTGTCATAAACGAGATAAAACACAAACTTTCTGTGAGATTTATACTGAATAACATGAATAAACACTGGCTCAATTAGGATTGCAGAAAGCAGACAGAGTTGAATCAAATATTAAATCCATCATAAATCAACTTTTAATTCTATGGTGCTATTATAACTGGTAAGATAAAGTAACAATCAACAGGCTGAACCTGGTATATCGGTAGAAACGTGGAAACTGAGGGGTGCAAATTATCATTAAATCTGCAAGAGCTTCCTTCCCTTCAAGAATCCCGTATTTTATCTATTAAAAAATGGTGATTATTCTACAAAATTCTTGGCCTGTACTTCTCAAGATCATCAAGGTCATGGCAAAAAGCAGAGACTATGATATTATAACCAAGCAGAAGATTGGAGATGAGATGATTAAATCCAATGTGATACCCTGGGTTGGATTAGAAAACAGACACTGGTGGAAAAATTGGTGAAATCCAAATAAAGACCAGAGATTTTAACTTTAAAGAATGTATCAAAGTGAAAATCAAAATCAACAAGAAACTATGAACCAGAGACACTATATGGGGGCTAGAGGGCGGGAGGGGAGGCATTGGGGTCAAAATTAGGGGGTTGTAATTGTATGGGGAATATAAAAATAAAATTTATTATTAAAAAAATAAAACTTTGATCAAATAAAAAAAAGAATGTATCACAGCAATGTAAGACTTTAACATTAGGGAAAACTCTTGCGAGGAATATATGGAAACTCTGTATATTCTTTGAAATTTTTTGACTAAATTTATTCCAAAATAAAATGGTTATTTAAGTATTTTTAAATGCATGAAAGGCTAATAAAATGATCAGCATTTCACAGTCATGAAGCTATGCAAACTGAATAAAGAGTGGAGCTAAAGTGGAGGTCAAAATCTGAAAATACTCAAAATGGGCATAGCTGACAAACTTTCAAAATATATCAGGTCAGGTCTATGGATAATCCTCACTGGAGCTGCCAGACTCACCAGCTCCATATGCCAGGCTGCCTATGGATTCCAGTATGTGAGACATCTAATCAAAGCATCCCTTATATCATAATGCAAACTATTTGGTCCCCATTAAGGCATTCTCTTTCAGATTTGATAGCAGCAATGCTTTTATTATACACAATAGTAGAATATGTATTGATTAAACCACTGGCTTTTAAGAAGCATACCTGTTAACTCAAAGGGGCATCAGCAAAACTCAAGCTTACCAACAATTCCATTTGGGAGCATGATGATCAATGATTTGAAATAACAGAGGAAATTTGAGGGCATGGAATTTGAGCCATATTTTAAAGAACTATTGCTGTCACTACAAGTACGCAGCACAAGTGTTCTTATAAACAGAAAGGGAAATGAGTTGAATAAGTCGTCATGGAGCGGGGGTAGGGAGAACAGAGCCATTCCACTTTACAAGGGAGAGGTCACCTTCCTTCCCAAAGTCACCCCACCTCTCTCCGATTGAATAGATTTTAAACAGAAGGATGGTTTCCTGGCCATGGCTCAGCGGAAGGGGGTACCCCATAAAGCCTTGGTTTCCTTCCTAAACGGTGTCCAAACAGGATTCTGAGCTTCCTCTTTTATCCACAATCTCACTTAATAAATTGTGGGTGTTAAAGTTGAAAGAAATAAATACAAAAACAGCATGACAATTTGCCAAGCTGACTGTGGGCCAACTTAGTGTTGCTCCAACCCCACTGTCATTGTACTGTAATCTTAAAATTTCCATGATTTCTTAAGGGTGAAGGAAGGTCAAGAGAAGAACAAGAGGTGAAGAAATCTTTTCTAGTAAAAGAAGTAAGTTCACTTTTCACTTTTCTATTCTTTTCTTTTTTTTTTTTTTGGATTTGGTAAATGATTGTCTTCTTCCTCTATGCCCTAACACTATGTCAAAGTGACACAATCTAACACAAAATCTACCCCGAGACATGTGCTAAGACTCTTCATGTTTGACACTTCAATGTTAAATGATCTTAAAATATACAAATTACAAGTTGATAAATTTATAAAAGCATGAAAAATTATAGAAAAAAAACTAAAATCACTTTGAATTTCCAAAAATGTCACAATCCCATCTCTCTAGATGGAAATTAGATAGGCATTTTTATTAAGAATCTATATTCATAAATCTATCCTTGATATAAAGTATTTTAAATTCTTTGTCTAAGTGTTTAACTGTAGGAATTCTGCTACTTCCTTTTGTATCTATCCATAAGATTTGTTAACTTTTCCATATTAGTAAATAAATTAGCCTCATTTCTTGAAACTGTTGTATAAGATTAAAAGTATTAAAACTGATTGCTCCTATCAATGAGCATTTGGTTGATTTCACTTTTTCAGTCTTTATGCTACAAGGAATTTTTTGGGCCAATAAAAAGTACAGGGAAAGAATATTCTACTTTGTATTTGGAATATGGTTGGGTAAAGGAAAATGAATGCATTTGAATATTTAGTGGTGTGATTAAACTCTGCAAGTAGTAAAAGAAATTATTTGAAGACATTGTAATGTCTCACTGTCTTCATATAACTGAAGTTTCAACACAAGAATATAGGATAAAAAATTCTGTTACATTCCAATCTCCTATATTTCATGATAAGAAATGAAAGTTAAACTCATTTTTTTTCCTGTTGAGGACTATGCTTCTTATTTACACATAGAACTCTAAAAGTGATTTCTAACAGTCTATAATTGTAAAACCTCTGTTAATTGGGACAATTGAAGCGAAGCCAAAAGAAAATTCAGAGGAGCAGATACACATGGACACCCCGCAACACACCCCCTCTCTCACACACACATTTTGTTCTTTAAGTATGAAATAGTCACTTCGGTGAAAACCTAAGTTAAATTTTGAGTGCTCTGTCAGGCAAGGCAGAAAGGAATGACAGTTTTCAATTTATGATAATACATTGTCTATGAATTTTCTTTATATTTATAGATAATATCAAATAATGTCAGCTAGAGTAGCTGCAAATAATGTTTCCTTATTAAAACATAATTTCCTCTTCTTTAATATGTTTGCTTTGGTTATCTGAAATAAAGGGCTTAATTTTTACTTGCTCATTTCTAATGTAGAAATTCATCAATTGTTGCAACAACACTAGTAGGTACCCTTGTTATTGTAAGACAACAGAGTCAGGATTATCTCCCGTGTATGAGCAGTAAATTTGATATTAGTGGGGCAACAGTCCCCTGGACCCAGAAGGATCCGTTCCCAGACCCCCAGTGGATGCCTGAAACTGTGGCTAGAACTCTGTGTCCCTACTTACATATATGAATATACTCATATGGGTATATGAATATACTTATATATATATATACACACACACACTCATATGTATGTATACATATGAATGTGTGTACATGTATATATGCATATTTGTATATATGCATATGTATATATGTTATGTATTTTTCTATTCATAAATGCTTAATTTATGATATGCCTATGATGATGTTTAATTTATAAATTGGTCACAAAAAATTAATAGTGACAACAACATAAAACAACTGTAACAACATACTACAATACAGGTTATATGAATATTCTCTCTTTTTCTCTGTATCTCTCTTTCTCAAAATAGCTTACTGTAGGTAACATTTTTGGACTGTGTTTATGGGTAACAATCCCTGGAAAGCAAAGTCACAGGTAAGAAGGGGCGATGGCAGTTCTGATAGCTACTGTTCACTTGTTAAGGCTGCTCATCAATTACAGACTTATTAGAATGCTTTTTTCATAATCAAGAATAGATGTCAAGTTTTATCAAGTTCCCCTTCCACATTAATTAGATTGTCCAGTTTTCTATTCATTTAATATATCAATGATATAAGTTACACAGTTAGATCTCCTAGTATGTTGAGTTTTACTAGTATTCCATGAAACGTATAGAATTTCCTTTTATTAAATCTGTGTTTTTGATGCCAAAGTTATTCTTGTCTCAGGGAATACGATAATGCAAAAAATACCCATTCCATAAAACTTAAAAAAGTTATTCATTAAACATCATGGCTCTGTGGTTTGCTTATTTGGGTGAATAAGAACGCAGAGAGCAAAGGGTGAAATTGCCTGATATCTTTTTCTGATCTTTTCATAATTAATTATTTTCACTAAACAGTGCAGTCAATATCTGTTCTGTTCCTCATTTTTTTAAGATTTTTTTTGTTATTTTTATACACTAATTTCTCTAAATGGGTAGCTTTATTATATTTGTAGTCAGCTAGGGAGGATTTTATACCTTGTAATACTGAAGAACTCCCAAGGTATGTGTCTATATTTATTCAGGCTTTCTCTCCAATCCCTCACTAAACTTTAATCATATTCTTCATAGTGATTCATCTTTTTCTAGTAGTTTTCTCATCCTTAATATTATATGTTTTCTCTCTTTTTTCTATTAATATTGTAAGTGACTTATCTATTTCATTAGTTTGGGGAGGGGACTAACACTTGATATACAAATATACTGTTTACATAATTTCTACATGGTAGCCCTCTTTTAATCATTATATTTTTTCTAATTTTGTTAAGTTTTATTTATTTTAGTGCCTTTTGTTAAGATGCTTAATTGATTTTCAACCTTTCATGTTTAATTATAAAGCCATTCAAAGTAAGAATTTCCTCTGAATAATACTTTTGGCCCTTAGCCACAGTTTTTATGTATAATACTTCATTGTCAATTTCTAAGAAGTCTAAAATTGCAGTTTTGATATCTATTTTAGCAATTTGGGATTTTTTTTTTCACCAAGTGTTTTGCTACTTTGTCTCACTTTTGTTACTAACTTCTGTTTCCATAGTAGCTGACCACAGCCCTGGAAGGCTTTCTGGAGCCAGGGAGTGATCAATATCTGAACTTGAAAAAGGGTATTAGAGCAGAATATTTTATATATGTGTGCGCACACACACTCATGTGTTAGATTCCGCTCTTCATTTATCTCTAAAGCTTGATAGCCCCCACTTGAGTATGCCTATGTTATTCTGAGACCTTGCTAACG